AAATATAGTGGGGAAATAATACCATTCAATCAATTTTACAATTTGATGTTTATATTTGACATTGATGTTAAAATGAGTAATATGGCACATAGTCTTTTTATGTTAATAATTGGAGCAACTTAAGCAGGTTATAATTTATAGTTTAATTTTTTGTAAATTATTAAAATAAATTAATTGTAAATTGTGATCCCCAATATCATTCTCTATCAGTTATTAAATGGATATAACAATGATCGATTTATTTATCAAAAAATTAATTAAGCACCGACAAATAATAATTTTAAGATTACAATGTTGGGCCCGTATACGGGCCTTTCCTCATCTAGTATTTATAATAAGTAGTAACACTTATTGTCAAAATCGTGAGTGTAATACTACTCTACACCAGCTTAGACTCAGGAAAGCGCACATAGATCAATTGATACTCAACTACAAGACTTTGTAATCTTGTATTAGAATTTTTTTTATTTTTAGTATTATTATTTTGAAGGATTAAATGATCAAGAAATGTCACATACAAAATGAAATCAAGAATGTTATTCGCAAGCAAACTAAACCAAACTTTGGACTGTAATACCATCATTACTGACTAGACTACGTACATCTCAACACTTTTTCCTTTCCGTTTTTATAATTTCTTAACTTATTTAGCATCAGGATACACATTATCCATCTACCCCAATCCTGATATCAAACTTTTAATCTCTCAATCTTCATATAATTGCTACCCAAGTCAACCACTGTATCCAACAAAGGTCTCCAAAGCATGTTAAGATACTCCCTGGAACTTGCCTAGATTTAAGTGGGCTCCAGGACATACGCTCTATATTTAGTGGGCGTTTGGACATAGGAATTGTAAAATTCCGAAAAAAATGAAAAAAAAATTCAAGTGAAAATGGTATTTGAAATTTAGAGTTGTGTTTGGGCATGAATACAATTTTGGGCTGTTTTTGAATTTTTGTGAGTGATTTGAAGTGAAAATTTTGAAAAACAGCCTTTTGGAGTTTTTCAAATTTTTGAAAAATTTCGAAATTCATCTTCAAACTTTTCGTTGCATTCACTTACAACAAGAAACAACCACCAGTGTTTGGTGCAGCACTTGCATTTTGGTGTATTCTTCTTTCTTTCCTTGGTCTTTCGTTCCGTCATATTCCTAATAACTTATCCAATTACAACGTATTAACCGCTAATGCACCTTTCTTTTATCAAATCTCAGGGACATGGTCTAATCATGAGGGTAGTATTTTATCATGGTGTCGGATCCTAAGTTTTTATGGATTCCTTCTTTGTTACCGGGGTCGACCCCTAAGCCATAATGTCTCAAAACGAGGAGGCCATAGAGAAACTTTTTTTTATTCCTTTGTTTCGAACTTCGTGAAGAACTCCAAGTAAAAATTGAAGATTTCATGGCCAAATGCTGATTTCGAAATAAAGTGAAAAAAATTGTATGGCCAAACTGCCCCTTAGCTTGTCACGGGGTAACAGAATTGTATGAAAACTTGCACCATAAAGTGCATGAGAATTAAGTTTTATAACCGTATACAGAAACATTACACTAAAAGGGCAGCCCGGTGCACTAAGCTCTCGCTATGCGCGGGGTACGGGGAAGGGCTGGACCACAAGGGTCTATTATACGCAACCTTACCCCCATTTTTGCAAGAGGATGTTTTCGCGGTTTGAACCCGTGACCTACTGGTCACATGACAACAACTTTACCAATTACGCCAAGGCTCCCCTTCATATAGAAACATTACACTATTAGTGGAATATAATTTAACCGGCTATTATTATTCTATTTTTCAGGTTATGATAATAAGTTCGTTACGAATGGTTACATGTTATAAGTAAATTTAAGTACTACCGTAAAAGATCAATATACTGTCAGCGCACAAAAGTTAAAGCGAAAGTGCAAGTTATCCACAAATGCATATGCAAAAAGTGAAAGTGCATTAATCAAATAAGAAAAAGTCAAGACACGAATCATTGTCAGATATTGACTTGTAGTATTCCCCTCACCGTTGTGAAGGGGTTGGTCTAAGCACGAGACTGATATATGTGAAGTTTACACACAAGAAGCAACTTGAAAAGTCTATGCAAAGGTCTTCCATGTCCCACTCTCTCTACTGGTCCACTCTTTGTTTAGCATCATAACCATAGTTTTATGAGTCACTAAGTGAGCAAATAAAGGGCTCCCAACAATGACATGCATTCAGCCACCAATCCTAAGCATCGTCCATGAACCTTCTTTCAACCTCGTAGGAAGCTTACTAGGAAAGATACATAAAGGGGAACTTTGCATTCAACATAAATGTACACCATGCGAATTCAGTCGATTACCATGGCTGCAAATAATCCTAGCACAAACATGTCTTATGGGAGTTTTAGATCACTTGACTCACCTGATAGTGATTTTTCAAACCAGCTAATTAACTTTGAGCTTTCTGACATTTTTGAGCTCGATAATTGGCCAGTTCATGATGATCCAACGTCCGTTGTTTCTGACACTTCTCAGTATTCAAATTATGCAGCAAATGAAGTGGTTGCCACTGAGAGAAGCAGGAGTTACCGTGAAGGACCTAGCAACAGTAAGCATTTCATCAAGCAACAGTTTTTCGCATTTCATTACGTAATATAGATATATGGCATTAACATGAGACATCTAATAATGTTACGCGCATGCACAAATTAGGAAAGAGTAGCACATACGATGAAATTTGATTATCTTTATTGATGAAACATTTTGTCTGGTAAACATATAGACATTGGGAGCAGCAGCGAGAGGAAGGAAGTAAAGGACAAGGTTGCTTTCAAAACACTGTCGCAGATTGAGATACTAGATGATGGCTATAAGTGGAGAAAGTATGGAAAGAAGATGGTGAAAGATAGTCCAAACCCAAGGTAGGATAATATCTTCATATTTTCTGTTTCAAGCAAGGGTTACAGGAAGAAGAGTTTTAGTTAGAACTTTCCTTCAACTTTTCTTTTTCTTTCAGTTTTAATTTTTGTCTACGTTCCCATGACAAATATCACTCCTCATGCCTTGCCTGAAGAACTCAGTACACTATGCCATAAAGCTCTCAGAAAATTTGAGCCTTATAGCTCATGATAGCTTATTGTTTAGTTTGCTGGTATAACCTAACAACAACAAACCTAGTGTAATCTCATAGGTGGGGCCTGGGGAGGGTAATATATACGTAGACCTTATCCCTACCTTGTGAAGGTAGAGAGGTTTTTTCCGATAGGCCCTCGGCTTGAGGAAAAATAAGCTATCTGAATCAAATAAGCATATATCTGCAGTAACTGTTTGCTTAAATAAGCTACAGCTGAAAGCTGGTTGCCCTTTTTTTTGAACCAAGCATAACACGACTTATTTAAGTTGTATTTTTATAAGCTGCCTAATTTATTAGTTATCCTAACAAGTAATAACAATATAACAACTACCGCTCCTCAATTCCAAGCAAGTTGAGGTCGGTTATTATGAATTTTCACTATCCATGTCGCGCCATTTAAGCAACAGGTCATTCAGTTACATGATACTCTTTGCACTCTTTGTCAAGCAACCTAAATTCTAGGAAATTTACCAGAAACATAACTAACCAAAGAACAGTCCACATCTGCGACCACATTATCAAGGCCCCATTTGTAGTTAAATATTAAAGGCAAAAGACAAGGGCTAGTGTCACTTAAAAACGAATGTCACATCAAAAGAAAATGAGGTTCCAGTAAGACACCAAGACTTGGGTGTAAGACCTGAAAAGAAAAGTTCAGAAATTGAAAGTAGTAACTATATTATGGCAAAAAGAAACTTCCACATACAACAACAACAAAAACAACGACAAACAACCCAGTGTATTCCCACAAGTGGGGTCTGGGGAGGGTAGTGTGTGCAGATTTTACCCCTACCTTTAAGAAGGTAGAGAGATTATTTCCGGTAGACCCTCGGCTCAGGAAAGATACAGGGAAGGGGCTAAACTTCCACATACTATAATCAATTAACTACGCCTTCACAGAGACTAACAAAAAAGTTATGGCTTTTGCTTTACACGAATAGCAGCTTACGGAAATTGGTATGATAACTAACTCACATGACCATGTTCTGTATCAACAGGAATTACTATAGGTGCTCCATTGAAGGTTGTCCAGTGAAGAAGAGAGTTGAACGAGACAAAGAGGACTGTCGGTATGTGATAACCACCTATGAGGGTGTCCACAACCATCAAGGTCCTTCGCAGTTCTGATTCCTGTAACAGAGCATGAATTTTGAAGTTACTATGACTGTTGCAAAGTAGCTAATCAGGGTTGTACTAGTAAATTGGGTCACCTATACTGTTTCCGGTGTTTAAACCTGACAGCTTGGCGAGTTCATAACCTATCACTGTGGGCTCAGACAAAGACGTCTCTCTGTAACTTAAAAGTAATCAATTAGAACAGTCTGTGCTCTTCAGTAGGCATGCATCTTGCTTCCAACAGGATATATATATAATATATGTTATAGCATTACCAAATGACATGGTAATCTTCAGTGTTGAAACATATCGTGCATCAATGAAGTAATCAATCGAGAAACAGGCCATCCAATATATTAAAAAAAACAGCCTTTTTCCAACCAATGTGAAGAAAGGAAAACTGAAGTGTCAGATGTATCCTGTTTCACCTGAAAATTTGAGATGAACCACGAAATGGTTGAATAAACTCTGTTTTGACCTGGAGGCAAATGCAGTAGGAAAGTCGTTCCGTGGTTTTAGATAAAACACAGATGAAGCCAACAGATACTAAAACTAACATATTTAAGTTTCCAGAGAACACGGATAAAAAACTCTCAACCACTTAATAAGATTAAGTACAGAGGAACAATCCCATGTTTATCAATAAGTTTGTACAAAACACCAAAGAAAGTATTGCTAGTCTAACTCATTTCTAGACCTACTCAACTAAAGGTGGCTCTACAAGTTGCATAATATTGATAATTTGTCCACCATGAAAATATTTTGCATAACAAGTTATTGACTACAAACAGCAGGTGTTATTTGTCAACTAAGAAACTCGATCAAGAAACAATGGGAAGAGGAAAAGCATCATGAAAATGAAATGCAAGCAAAACTAGAAAAACTATACGCCTTGATATATGGCCATCCTCTGTAGGTTTTACAGAGAATGAAGATAGAAAAATCTGATTCAATTGTAATTAAACAAGTCGAATATGAGTTTGAAGAACTTTGAAAGAAAAATCAGGAATCTGATAATGAAAGCAAACTTGCTTCTTCATTAGAAACTCCAGACAAGTTTATAGAGTTTACAAACTCAACTGAAAATAAAAACCAACTCCTACAAATTAGGGATTACATAGAAACTAAATGACTGTTATGCAGTAAATAACTGGTACACAGTTTTAAGACACTTGGACTGCTGCAGTTCTTAATGCAGTTTTCTAACACTCCTCCTTGCTTTAAGAGCTGCAAACTCCAAGTTTTTGCCTGAGAAGCTCAAATTTGTTGCCTGGTAAAGGCTTGGTGAAGATATCAGCCAGTTGCTCCTCAGTCTTGCAATACAGTAGAGTTACATCACCATTCTTTTGCACATCTCTCAAGAAGAAGAACTTGATGTTGAAGTGTTTAGTTTTTCCATGAAATACAGGATTGTGAGAAATTGCACTCGCAGCTTGGTTGTCCACAAATACTTCAGTGCCTTCAGCTTGTTTCATGTGTAAATCAACCAATATTTTTCTCAACCACAATGCTTGATTCGCTGCTGCTGTTGCAGCCACAAATTCTGCCTCTGCAGTAGATTGAGCCACAATGTCCTGCTGCTTTGAACACCATGAAAAAATTCCGGAGCCAAGACTGAAGCAATACCCCGATATGCTTTTCATGTCATCCACGGATCCAGCCCAATCACTATCAGAATACCCAAGTAGTTTCAGATTTTGATTCTTCTGAAACTTGACACCATGATTAATGGTCCCTTTGATGTATCTGATAACTCTCTTGGCTGCTTTTAGATGCACCTCACTGGCACAATGCATGAACCTCGATAAAATGCTTACTGCATACAAAATATCGGGTCTTGTAGCTGTGAGGTACATCAAACAACCGACTAAGCCTCTGAAGTATGCTTCCTCCACTTTATCTGCTCCATCATTTTTGCTTAGTTTCTCTTTTTTGGTTCATAGGAGTGCTCATCTCCTTGCAATCTTCCATGTTGAATTTCTTCAGAATCTCCTTGGCATACTTCTTCTGACAAATGAAAACTTCATTTTGTCCTTAATTGATTTCCATTCCAAGAAAGTAGGACATCAGACCAAGATCAGTCATCTCGAAGGCTTGCATCATTTCTTGCTTGAAATTCTCGATATACCTTGAATTGTTCCCTGTAATTAGTACATCATCCACATAGATAGAAACAACAAGGATATCAACGCTATTATGTTTAACATAAAGAGTAGATTCTGATGGACTCTTTTCAAAGCCTAGGCCAAGCAAATGGTCATCTATTCGACCATACCAGGCCCTTGGTGCCTATTTAAGACCATAAAGTGCCTTTCTTAGCCTATAAACTTTGTCCTCTTTTCCTTTCACCGCAAAGCCCTCGGGTTGCTTCACGTGAATTTCTTCCCGAAGAAAACCATTGAGAAATGCCGATTTGACATCCATCTGGTACACTTTCCAGCCCAATTGTGCAGCAAGAGCAAGAAGTAACCTGATTGTGTCAAGCCTAGCAACTGGTGCAAATGTATCAAAGTAATCTACACCAAAAATTTGTGCATATCCCTTAACTACAAGTCTTGCTTTATGCTTGTTGACTGAACCATCAGGATTTAGCTTGGTTCTAAAGACCCATTTCAACCCAATTACCTTTCTGTCTTGAGGTTGATCAACAAGCTCCCAAGTCTTGTTTTTCTCAATCATAAACAACTCTTCTTTCATTGCAGCTACCCAATTCTCATTATTCTTGGCCTCACTGTATCTAGCAGGTTCACATACTGCCACATTGCATCGCTGATATATATCAGAGAGCAATCGAGTACCTTGAACTGGTGAATGATCAACCATCTCATCCTGCCATGAGGCTGATGTTTGCTTTTCAGGAACCTTTCGTGTTGAGTCAAGAGAATTCAGGATAGGTTTCTTAGAGTCTTCCCAACACCACTCTTCATTCTCCAAAAAATACACATCTCTACTGAAGATTATTGTCTCAGTTTGTGGTTGGAAGACCTTATATGCCTTTGAAACTGTACTATATCCAATAAAAATGCCTGGAGCAGATTTTTTGTCTAACTTATCTCGTTTAACCTGAGGAACATAGGAAAAACAGAGACAACCAAACACTTCAAGAAAATTTATTGATGGTTTAAATCCATGCCAAGCTTCAAAAGGAGTTCGATCCTTCACTGCTTTTGTAGGAAGCCTATTTTGGAGAAACACTGCTGTACTTGCTGCCTCTGCCCAGAATTTCTTTGGCAAGCTCTTGCCGTGCAACATGCATCTGGCCATCTCCATAATGTATTGGTTCCTTCTCTCACTTACTCCATTTTGCTATGGAGTATAAGGAGTAGTAAGCTGATGATTGATCCCCGCTTCCTCACATAACATGTTGAACTGTTGAGAAGTATATTCCTTTCCATTATCTGATCTCACCGACTAAATTTTACAACCGCTCTCATTTTCTACTTTTGCTTTGAACGTCTGAAAGACATTAGCAACCTCTGACTTGTATGTGAGAAAGTAAATCCAACACATACGGGTTAGATCATCAACAAAAATGACATAGTAAAGGCTACCTTTTAGCGAGGGAGTCCTTTGAGGTCCTGCTATGTCGGTATGAATCAATTGTAATTTCTTTGAGGCTTTCCAAGTTGTCTTTGGAAATGGAAGTCTGCTTTGCTTCCCATATTGACAAGCACTACAGTTTGAAGAATTCACTTCCAACACAGGTAAGTCCTCAACTATTTTCAATTTCTGCATTTTGAGCAGCCCTTCATAGTGAAAATGTCCAAGTCTCTTGTGCCATATTTCTGCGGCACTTTCTTTGGCTGAAAAAATGACATGCTCCTCCTCAAATGGATCTAATGAGAAACTTTTGCCTCTCATTTTTACTTTAAACAATTCTTGATTTGAAACATCCTTGATCAAGCAATGTTTATCTTCAAAAATTAATTTGTAGCCTTTTTCCATCAACTGACCAACACTTAGCAAGTTTTGGTCTATGTCAGGTACATAAAGCACATCAGAAATTGTTTTAATACCTGAATGACTTGGAATAACAATTGATCCTTTTCCTCTGACAGCAATATGTTCGCCGTTACCTATTCTGACTTTAGTAATGGTCGTGGGCTTCAATTCCTTGAAGAGGGCCTTGTCATTTGTCATGTGGTTAGTGCATCCACTGTCAATCAGTCAACAGTCGCTCGACGATCTGCTTGAAAAACATGTAGCGACAAAGAGTTGATCTTCCTCCTCTCCATCAACAATTTGAGCATCTGCTTCTTGCTGTTGACCCTTGTTCTTGCAAATAACAGCTTCATGCCCAAGTTGATTGCATTTACTACACCTGACATCAGGCCCTTTTCCAACACTTGTATGGTGGATGGCCTTTTTTGCCACAATGCTTACAAGGAGGATAACTTCTCTTTGAGTTTCCTGCTTTACCTTTGGTGGTATTTGCTGAAATGCCATCATCATTTGTTGGTTGATTCTTCTTGTTCTTCTTCCTTTTGTTTTTGCCACCATCTTGGTGTTTGGCTGGCAATGCTCCCTCATTATTTCCTTCTTCTCGCATAACCCTTCGTTGTTCTTGAGCGTGCAAAGCATTCAACAATTCTGCCAAAGTGATCTTGGATAGATCCTTGGTATTTTCCAAAGTAGTTATGGTTGCTTCAAATCTCTCCGGCACAGTTACCAGAATTTTTTCAACAATACGAGAATCATTGAACTTGGAACCAAGCAATCTTACCCTGTTTGCTATGTTTAGGAGCCTTTCAGAGTAATCTTTGATGGTTTCATTTTCTTTCATCTTCTGCATCTCGAAGTCTCTGATGAGATTTAGAACTTGCATGCCTCAGATCCTTTCATCCCCTTCGTATTCTGCTTTGAGATAATCCCAGATGGCTTTGACTGACTTTAGAGACATAATTCGAGTGAAAATTGTAGAAGATACTGCTGAAAATAGACAAGCCTTTGCCTTTGATTTTCTGGTTTTCCTGTCTTTATGGTTCTTAATCTGGGGCCATAGTTGGATTGTTGGGCAGCGGAGGAACTTCATAATCCTCTTCGACTGCCTCCCAGATATCCAAGGCATCCAGATAAGTTTCCATCCTTACAGCCCAAATTTGATAATTTTCACCATTGAAAACAGGAGGTGCGATTGTTGAGAAATTTGATTCTGCTTCCATGCTTGACAAATCTGTCTTGTTGAGAGTTTGAGTTTAATGAACACCCTACAAATTCAACTGAAAATAAAAACCAACTCCTACAAATTAGGGATAACATAGAAACTAAATGACTGTTATGCAGTAAATAACTGGTACACAGTTTT